ATGTCACGCTCAACGTACAGAGGTGGCCAAATTATTAGACTAAATATTTGTTCTGTGACTTAACTGATTATAACGAGTCCTGAGAAGCTCCTGGCAAACGTAACTGTTTGATGTGTAATGTTTCTTAATGTTATTGGGAATGTATACACAGTTAATGGTACAATGAGGCATGACCAATGATGCTCTAAAGAACTAATGGATCCCTCTCATAAATGAGTTGTTTGAAAAAACAAACAATGTCTTCAGTCCCTATCATAACAGGAAAGAAAATTGGAAATCATCAAGACATTTATCAGTTTTTGTTCCAATGGTCTGCAACTAACCCTGACATGAATCCCATCGAAAATCTTCGTTCGATAGTTATATAATACTTAAGAAAAGAATTCCACAAAACCAGCTTATAAAACATACGTTAATTATGAAAATTTAATAAAACATTAGAACCCTGTACTCCGAGCGTGTCAATATCTACAGTCGCAAATTCATTTTGTCATATTCAATAACTCTAGTCTAATAAATTGGCCATCTCTGCAAAAGTATACATTACTTTTTCCATACTTTCATCCATGGCTAACGCGAATACGTGAAGAGGTGAAGGACGAGGGGCCGTGGCGTGCGCGTTGCAGGTGGAAGCGCACGCGGGCGCAGCTCGTGCCCGCCTTCTCGTCGGGCCGCCTGCGCCAGCTGCTGCAGCCCATCCGCGACGTCACGCGGGAGCTGATCGCCTACGTGCGCGCCGAGAGCCCCGCCGCCCTGCCCGGTGAGTTAACACGAGGTCACCTGCGATTATATTTGCTGCTAATCGCACAGCCAGAGTTAGTGGACGAAGAACATGTCTGTGTGTTTCAATGCAAACTGTAAAAGGTATCAGGAGAGGTGGAGTTCCTTGGGGAACTACGTGGGCAGATATATGTTGTGTATTATTAATTCATCCAGACAAAATAATTGCTAATCAGAACGGTAATGCTAAGGATAATGTAAATGTTTAATGGCTTCATCTTGTAAAAATGTAAGGAAAAAATCCTAAAAAGTTATTAAGTAAAATAATTAAAATACGAAAATGAATATGAATAACCTTCTTATATTTTTATGTCCAATTAATAAGGTTTCTAATTCGGAGTATAATTTATTAATTAACGGCCATCGAGGCACTGATTGAGGGAGCAAGAAATGAGCGGGAATATGAAATACAAATGTTCCTAAATCAAGTACGAGCGAACGTTTGAATAGCAAATGCAAGATGGCCTCAACGAATTCGTAATTAGTCATTGTCTAGAAACTGAGATACCAATAATATGACATTCTTCTTGTCATGCTCCAAAATATGTGATGCTGATAAACTTTGGAAAGCGACTTCATTCCAAAATGTCTCAGTAACTCTCTCCCAAATATGAACGAATCTGATTTCGACACAGAAAGAAACTTTTTTCATAGTACGAAGGTTAATACACTTAAATTTGATGAATATTTTCGAATATTTTAGTCGGATGAGGTGGGTCGATGCCGCTGCAGCATCTCTTATAAGATTTGTGTCCCTACAAACGCGACTTGCTACCTTATGCGAGTATAGCTTGGACGAATTCAGCTGCTGTTTGGATGAGAATTCTAGCGACCAAATAAAATGATCAGTAAGTGGAGGTTGGTATCTATGATCAATACGAGACGAATATCGGAGCAGTACATTAGAGCATTAGCCACAGATTACCATTTGCGAATTGCCCCTCCTCTCTCCGTACCACGCCCACTTCCACTCGCCCACTTTCCATACACTCCCGCACCCCCGCAGGAGGAATCATGCCTGCGGAGGTGGGCACGGCGGAGACTTTCAAACGACCACCCGCACCCTGTTTCTCGGCGGCGCTCAGGTCGTTCGCTTCAAGGTGGAGCGAACCTTCCCCCGCTGAGTAGGCGATGCTAAACTCAGAGTTGCCGGATTCGCCCGGTAACCCACCAGATGGGTCCCTGGCGCATCCCACGTTAAAAATCCAGACGAGGCCACGAACGAGAACCTGTCAGGTCGCCTGGGTTCCGGCGGTACTCACGTCGATAGGATGAAGGTGATTGCAGCGAGATGGGAAGGGGGCTCCGAACCGCCCAACATTAGTTCGGGAGGCCCTTGTTGGGCTCTTGGCTTCGACGTACAAGTTGTCCGATACTGTGCGCAAAGAGGAGGGACTTGTGCCCGGTGCATTGTGAGTGGCGCATTGTTTAGACTCCGGCACCAGCCTGGAGAGCCGGTAGCTCTGAGAAGGCAGGGCGGCCCGACCCAGGTTTTGAAGGGGAAGGTTACTTTGAGTAAACTACATTCTGGGGGAATCCAGATACCCGTCTGTCGATGTACTTGTGCGCCGGGGGGGAGGGGGATAGGGGCCAACGCCTAGGTGCAGACCCCGGGGAGAAATCCCCTTGGTGCGAGTAAATATCACAGCAGAACATCTACACTACCACGCATACCGGGGAAGCAGACGGGAGCTTAGAGCGTATCCAAACTGGGGCGCTGCCTGGAACAACCACCCAAACCAACGTGTAGGTTGGCGTCGAATTTAATGATCTACTACGAGAAGAACTTCCACACCTCCCAACATGAACTATAGGTTCAATGTCCAAGGAGTTGATGCGCTCGGAAATACGAAGTACTCACTCACTCACCACATTCAAAGTTCCTATTGTATGAATGAATACATTAGATATTAATGGAATTTTGAATACTATAGAGCATCTTTGGAGAAACAAGGGCGTACGTGTACGTTATTTACACCACACTATTCCTAAAAGTTAACTGTGATTGGAAAAGCAAAGACAGGATTGTAACTCTTCCCTTACACAAATGTAGACAATTGTTAGGACATGAAAATACAAATTTGGTACGAGTTTTATGAACTTGTGGTAAAAAACAATTGAAGGATGGAGCATTCTCTACAATTAACGTAAGGTTTTGGAGAGAGACTGGATTGATTTCACGAGAGTATGGCCATCGCAATGTAGGCCGGTTAAAGATTAATGTGAAATTCTTATTTGAAATACAATTAGTAGCGACTTCAGGATATTCGAAGTTTCGCCAAACCTTGGGAAAGGTAATTCAGCATGTTAATCGGTGGTTCTTGTTTCTGGTTGTATGACTTCACGATTTGCTTTGTGTTTGAACTTAAAGTGTTATTTAAATTACCCCAAGAGAGAGGTTCACGACCGCGACATTTGGTGAGTGGCAATTCAGAATACCAGATATTGAAATATCTTGCAGCTGTTTTAGTTGTTGGCGGTACAAACGATCGTGGGCACTTCGTAGGCACACAGGTGCTCATACGCCGTTGCGGACACATTGGATTCAATAGATTCGTAACAACCATACACTACCGGGTGATCTGGGCTGTCCGGGTGACGCCGCGTCGAAGGCTGTGTTGCCGACGTTTCGACCATCCTGTCGTAGTCTTCTTCAATTGGCATACCATCCCACATGACTCTGGCCGCGGAAGCCTACGACTTCAACAATACACTACCCTTCAGAGCGAATAAGTCTTCTTGGAATTACAGCTTATAATCCAGGTCTTTCAAACTTAAGCGCCCCTCCCATTCACGAGCTTATACTCGTGTCTTGTAACCAAAGGTGCGCCGTAAATGCACCCGCAGTGACGAGAACGCTTGCTCGCAGACGGGCTGGACGCGAAGGAGTTGGCGGCCAAGTTCACGACGGAGGTGGTGTCGTCGGTGGCGTTCGGCGTGCGCGCCAACAGCTTCCGCGACCCCGACGCAGAGATCCGGCGCATGGGGCGCCGCATCCTGCAGGCGGACGCCTGGAACAACTTCCTCTTCACCATCTCGCTCTTCTTCCCCACGCTGCGCGGCCTCCTCAGCGTCAGGTCAGACGCGCGGCGCTTCAACCCGAACACGCCAAATGTTTCGGCGCCTATTTTTATTAAAAAAAATATTAAATTATATGTAAGTCGTGTAGTATACAGTGCGCCAGGAAAGGCCTCCGTACCGAGCTGAATCTTCTGTGGCCGTCTATTAAAAATTACAATTACGTTGGTGGCTACCAGTTCATCTTGACATAAGTGAAGGGGGCAACACTTGTGGATTGTGGTGATTGAGATTTGTGGATTGTGGTGAGTTCGCAGTTTACTATTGCTTTTATTAAAGGCTGCAGCTCGTGCTACCATCAATCTCACGCAAGTTTCCACTGCGGAAACACTTTCCTGGCGCACTATTATGGAGTGTGTGTGTGTATGTATGTATGCATGCATGTATGCATCCATTTATGCATGCATTTATGCATGCATGTATGCATGCATGTATGCATGCATGTATGTATGCATGCATGTATGCATGCATGTATGCATGCATGTATGTATGTATGCATGCATGCATGTATGTATGCATGTATGTATGCATGCATGTATGTATGCATGCATGTATGCATGTATGAATGCATGTATGTATGCATGTATGAATGCATGTATGTATGCATGTATGAATGCATGTATGTATGCATGTATGTATGTATACACACACACACAATGATTGCTGGTGTGTGTGTGTATGTACATGTACAACATATACATACAGGTGGAACAACTAAGTGATAACACCCTTTGTACCTCCTCAACCGTGCAAGATACGAAGATGGCGTTTGGAGAGTCGATTGCATAAACAGGGGTTACATGATTACAGTATACTTTGTCTTTGCGCTGTTTTTTACTGTGAAGACATAGATAAACTTTGGTTTTTTAATGGAACCTTATGCGAAATTTAAGCGTTTCGAAGTGGGCTTAAAACACAATTTCCAACATGTGTACATCTTCGTATTTCAGCGAATTGTTTTTTAGAAATCGAAGTGGTTTTGTAACGTATTTTCTACTGAAGTGGCGATTTTCCATTCGACCTTTCCTTCTAACTTAATGAGGAACTTCGCGAGTCCGTCCTTCAGATAAACGCACTTCCAGAATAAACAAAGAATCTCTGACACCTATCAAGCGCTGCTACTATTTTTGTAATTATGAAATCAATCCATTTGGATGTTGTCCAAGTTGTGTGTTCTCAGCGTTGGCAAATCTACTTGCAAATCCATTTTAAATTAGAATTAGAAAAGGAATAGTTTTTTAACCGTTCATCAGATGGTGTCAAAGCAGTTGGCGCGGAGAAATATTTAGCAGGCCGCTATATTACCTCTATAATTCCAAGGCGTGCCCTTTCAGCTTTATTAGTCAGTTTTTGACGGACGTTTTGAACACATTATTTGATGTTTCACGTCCTTAAAACGTATTCCACGTCTTTAAAAAATCACTATTTTTAGAACTTCGATATTGCACAGACATTTTAACTTTTAACTAACATTTTAACTAACAAAATAGCAAGTAATTACTAGCCCGTCGATATGACAGTTTGCTGTAGGTTCAGTCTAAAAGTTCTGCCAAGTTTCGATGCTAGTCGGCTCGGGTGGTTGTGGTCCTTAATAATTGTCTTTACAATTATTTTGTAATATATAAATATATATTTTATATTAATATACCACGATGACGCAAGTGGTATCAAATCTGTTAAAGTATTATTTGCCGATTTTAAACGTCAAAGGCCTTGAATTTACTATTAGGCCTACGTACATCGTAATAGAGAGTAAAGAACTCAAAATAGACTATTGAATACGGCTTCACACATGCTTCCACTCATATTTTTAACTCTGGGTATTTATTAACTTTACCCACCCCATGGGATATAGTTCCATAAAGGGTCCTACGTATGTTTAATTTTAAAAAAATAGGGTGAGGTGCCTTATCTCAAGGATGTGGCTGGGACATGTTCAGGTAAATCAATGTAAAGAATAAAACCATTCAGTATCCACTTAACCCCGTACGACTGTGTACATATTCCGTTCTTTACCTCAATTTTGCGCATCCAGAGGGGTTTCATTAATAACTGGGAAATAAAGAGAGCAATTTACACAGCACGTTCCACAGGTGCCCCCTTTTCTTTCCCAAGCCCTTTCGCGTGCGTGACCCGTGCGTGTGCGGCGCGTTGCAGCTTCATGCCCAAGGAGGTGGACCGCTTCTTCCGGAAGCTGGTGGGCGAGGCGGTGCGCCACCGCGAGGAGACCGGCGTGGAGCGCAACGACTTCCTGCAGCTGCTGCTGGGGCTCAAGCAGAAGGCGCAGGAGCAGGGCGACGAGTGTGAGTGCCCCCTCCGATGGCCAATCGCGACCACCTCCCGTGCCCAAGTCACGGCATTGTTGCGAGGAAACTTCATGTAGACAATGCATCTATGCGTAGGATGAGTCATTTCACAAAAAACAACACACTGGCATGTTGAACATAATATTACCAATAAATATTTCAAATTCTTAAACTGATAAAATTGATTTTAGGTTTTTTTCACTGTCGTCCGAATTCTTTACAAATCTGAAAAAATATATGTTGTACAATGTTATGAGACACAATCTAAGAAAAAGAACTGAGACAGTACTCCGAAGTTATTACGTCGAAAATAATTTTCAAAAATGTATTTATTTGTTTTCTATTTGCATTTGGAGTCAAAATTGGTTTACAAAAATACATTCAAATTCAACTATTTTCCCCCTTCTCTGCAATTTTTTCAGCCGAAACGTGCAATAAAATCTGAGGGGAAAATAAAAAATTAATAAAAAAATGGTTTCATCGTTTTTGATTAAATTTTGTTGCTGGATAGTATAAAAGACTTAAAGAGAATGGTGCAGGTCTCATGTTCGTTGAAAATCATATTTTTTCAAAAATTGCGAAAGTTTCGAAAGTTTAAAATTTTACGGAGTCTTCCTACAACTCAAAAACGATAAGAGATTTTTTCCCTTAATAAAATCTCTTCCCTACAGATATATTTTGAAATAAGGTCATGTACAATTTTTTCGAAAATTTGAGTAATTTTGCATGAAAAGACGGGCAAGAAAGTACGTGCTGTTTTTAGCACCACCAATTTGAAGTACAGACGATATATATTCTCTCAAGAAATGTCAAAGAGGACATTTCATTACTTTGTTGATCATTTTTGCCAACGTTTTATGACATCAAAATCTGCCCCCGTAGTAATGACTATCAGTTGACGCACAAAGGCCCACAATAACGAATCGCAACGGCAGCGAAAGGCGCTGTATCCTAAGAGAGATTGCGTGTGTGCGCGCAGACGGCAACGAGGAGATCACCGCGCACGCCATCACCTTCTTCAGCGACGGCTTCGAGACGTCGTCGGTGGCGCTGTCGTTCCTGCTGCACGACTTGGCCGGCAGCGCGGCCGCGCAGCGCCGCCTGCGCGAGGAGCTGGGCCGCCTGCCCGCCGACGACCACGAGGCCGTGCTGCGCATGCCCTTCCTCGACGCCTGCCTCATGGGTGAGACTCTTTTTTTCTTTCTTTCTTTTTTTTTGTTTCTTTCTTCATTTTGTTGAGTCCTCGATTGACGCAACGCGTCTCCAAGCTCCTTTGCTTGCCTCCCTGTTGAGCGCGTTGCGCTTCCAGAGTAATCCTCCGTTAATTATTAATATTGTCACATCCGCCACGTCTCGTTGCAGTCGGTTTTCAAGAGGACCGCCAGGTAGCATCTTCGCGTTCGCGGCTCCTACTATGCGCTCCTGCGCCACTACCCAGCGGCCAGAAATTGGGAAGGAATTAGGATTGAGGCCTGGTTAAGGACACTTAGGACATGGGTTGGAATAGCTCTTGTGAGTGCCAAAGTGGTTTTGTTGGAACAAATTTTACATGAAATTGTGATTCGAAGGGAATCGAACCCGTCCCCCCGCGCTGAAAGACGAGCGACTTCGCTCTGAGCCACCAGATGGCACTCTTCTTCTAAGCAGAACGCTAGAAGCCCCCGGTAGCATTTAATACATGTACAGTCATACAATAAACATATAACCCATGTTCCACATAAATACACGTAAGTTACTCATTGCCAGATGAGATTAAACAATTAAAATATATACGCAAGTGTAAGTGCCGAGTAAAATCTTTTCTGCCGCGTAACTGTTTCTATACAATTATAGTAGTGATACTAGACAGTCTCAAAAACAAAAATAATGTTTATTTTAAGAATGATATTTGATGAATTAGTTAAAATTTGTATTGCAGAACTTTAAAGACTCAATATGCTTATAACAAATATTGTATTTCAGCTCTCACGCCAATGACTCCCATCTCGATCAGGCTTTTGTTCTGTTTCCCTCATCCATTGCGCACATGCTGAGATGGCCGCTTGTGTTCCTTCCGGACAGAACTGTAGCTTCACTATGTCATGTTTAGTTGCCAGTTGAGGAAGAAGTAGAGCTTGGGGGTTGGGATGCAATTTTTCTAGAAATATTATAAAATCAATTATCTAGTAATTTACTGATGCAGTGATATTTTCTATTAATCAGGAACGAAAATATTTAATTTTCAAATGCCCCTAAGTATGCTTTGGTACTTTTATTCACCATCCAACTACATATAGTAAAAGTTTAGGATAGAAATTCTAGTGCATAAGAATACGTCAACAGTTTATACTTCTCACTCATACGTAACACTTACTAGTGTTTTTTGAATGAAAAAAATGAAATCAGAATAGACCGGCTGTAGACTTTATGCGACCTGTGATTACTCTCCCATAGCCCTCGTTGCGTGTAAACCTGCTCGACTTTACCTCTCGTCCAACTAGTCGGACGTGAGGTGAGAGACTGAAAGCGTGCTAGATTGTAGCCCAGCTGAGCTATAGACCAGATCGCCTCTAGTAGGGTCGTCCATCTGGCGGCTCGCGATGTCATTAGTTGTGGCCCGCGAAAGGGTATTTGTCAAATATGAAATCCCTTGCATCCAGGTCGGGTGAGAAAATCGCGCCTAGCGCACACGTCCTGACGGGGTCAATCCTCCCCCTTCATGTAAAAATAGGATTAGTTTATATTTAAGATTTATTTTCTAGTAAATTCAGAAATTCGAAATCATCCCCCTGCGTTTCCTTGTGTTATGTATAATACGGTCTGATATCATCCATGCCTCCCCCCCCATTTCTAAATTGCCGAGGTCAACAATACGGGGACGTCATGTGTAGATCACCCAAATAATGTAAATATAGCCCCCAACCATGTGACAGGTTTTAGTCGAAGCCCCTGACCTCTAGCGTAGCAGCTGCAGCGTGTTGAGAGTGTGCGTGGACGTGTTCGCAGAGTCGCTGCGCCTGCACCCGCCCGCGGGCTTCCTGGAGAAGCGCTGCACGTCGGCGTACGCGCTGGCGCTGCCTGGCGGCGGAGCGACGCAGCTGCCGGCGGGCGTGGACGTGGTGCTGCCGGTGCTGGCGTGGCACAGCGACCCCGCGCTCTTCCCCGACCCGTACGCCTTCCGCCCCGAGCGCTTCCTGGAGGAGGGCGGCGCGGGCCCGCGCGGCGCCTTCGTGCCCTTCGGCGACGGCCCTCGCCAGTGCATCGGTGAGCCTTCTCGCTCAACCCCCTCTCGCTCAACCCCCTCTCGCTCAAGCCCTTCGCTCAACCCCTCTCGGGGTCAACCTCTCGCACACCCCTCTCGCTCAAAACCCCTCTCGCTCAACCCACTCTCGCTCCACCACCTCTTCCGCTCAACCGCCTCTCGCACAACCCCTCTCGCTCAACCCCTCTCGCTCAACGCCCTCGCGCTCCAACCCTGCCTCGTCGCTCCACCCCTCGATCGCTCCACCCCTCTCGCTCAACCCCTCTCGCTTCAACCCCTCTCGCTCAACCCCCTTCGCTTTTTCACCCCCTTCTGCTCAACGCCTCTCTCGCCAACCCTCTCGCCAACCCCGCCTCTGCCCAACGCCCTCTCGCGCCCACCCTCTCGCTCAACCCCTGCTCGCTCAACCCCCTCTCGCTCAACCCCTTCTGCGTCACCCCTCTCGCTCAACCCCTCTCGCTTCAACCCCCTCTGCTAACCCCCTCTCGCTCACCCCCTCTCGCTGCACCGCTCCTCTCGCTCAACTCTCGCTCAACCCCTCTGCTCAACCCCTCAGTCGCTCAACCCCTCCTCGCTCAACCCTCTTCGCTCAACCTTCTCTGTCAACCCTCTCGCTCACCCCTCTCGCCCAACCCCTCTTCGCTCAACCCCCTCTCGCTCAAGCCCCTTCGGCTCAACCCCTCTCGCTCACTCTCGCTCAACCCTTCGTCACCCCTCTGCGCTTCAACTCCTTCTCGCTTCAACCCTCTCGCTCACCCTCTGCGCTCAACCCCTCTCGCGTAACCCCCTCTCGCTCAACGCTCTCGCTCAACCCCTCTCGCTCCACCCCCGCTCCACCCCTCTCGCTCAACGCCTCTTCGCCAACCTCTCGCTCACCCTCTCGCTCAACCTCCTTCTCGCTCAAACTCCTCTCGCTCAACCCTCTCGCTCAACCTCTCGCCCAACCCCCTCTGCCCAACCCTCTCGGCCCAACCCTGGGGCGTCGCCCAACCCCCTCTTCGTCAACCCCTCTCGCTCAACCCTCTCGCTCAACCCTCCTCTCGCTCAACCCTCTGCTCAACCCTCTGTCAACCCCCTCGCTACCCCTCTCGTCAACCCCTCGTCGCTCAACCCCCTCTCGCTCAACCCTCTCGCTCTCCCTTCCTCAACGCCCCTCTCGCTCAACCCCGCTCTCGCTCAACCCCTCTCGCTCCAACCCATCTCGCTCAACCCTCTCGCTTCAACCCCTCTCGCTCAAACCCCTCTGCTCAACCCCATCGTCGCTCACCCCCTCATCGCTCAACCCCCTCTCGCTCAACCATCTGCTCAAACCCCTCTCGCTCAACCCCCTCTCGCTACACCCACCTCTCGCCCAACCCCCTCTCGCCCCACCCTCTCGCTCAAACCCCCTCTCGCTAACCCCCTCTCGCTCAACCCCCTCTCGCCACCCCCTCTCGCTCAACCCTCTCGTCCCCTCTGATGTCACCCCTCTCGCTCAACCCCTCTCGCTCACCTTGAACCCCACTCTCCTCCCTTCGTCCTCATCTCACCCCTCCTCCCTCTCGCTCAACCCCCTGTCGCTAAACCTCTCGCATCAACCCCTCTCTGCTCAACCCCCTCTCGCTCAACCCTCTCTCGTCAAGCCCCCTCTCGCTCACCCCTCTCGCTCAACCCCCTTCTCGCTCAACCCCTCTCTCCGCGTCCAAGCCCCTTCTGCTCACCCCCTCTCCTCAACCCCCTCTCGCCAACGCCCCTCTCGCTCACCTCTCTGGCTAACCCCCTCTCGCTAACCCTCTCGCTCAACCTCCTCCCTCTTCGCTCAACCCCCTCGCTCAACCCTCTCGCACCCTTCTCCTCAACCCCTCTCGCTCAACCCCTCTCGCTAACCCCCCTCTCGCCACCCACCTCCCTCTCGCTCAAACCCCGTCTCCTCACCGCCACCCCTCTATCGCTCAACCCCTACTCTGCTTCAACCCTCTCGCTCAACCTCTCGCTCAACCCCTCTCGCTCAAACCCCCTCTCGCTCAACCCCTCTCGCTCACCCCCTTCTCGCTCAAACCCACCTCTCGTCAACCCCTTCTGCTCCAAACCCTCATCGGCTCAACCCCCTCTCGCTCAACCCTCTCGCTCAACCCCCTCTCGCTCACCCCCTCTCGCCTCAACCCCTCTCGCTCAACACCCTCCTCGCTCAACCCCTCTGCGCCAACCCCCTCTCGCTCAACCCCCCTCTCGCTCAACCCCTCTCGCTCAAACCCCCTCTCCTTCAACCCCCTCTCGCTCACCCCTTCGCTCAACCCGCCTCTCGCTCAACCCCCTCTCTGCTGCTCAACCCCCTCTCGCTCAACCCCCTCTCGCTCAACCCCTCTGTCCACATTTCTTTTTGGGGTCGTCCAAACATTACGTAACGCTAAAGAGGGGTTTAAGGCAGCGTTACCCTGCGTTACATAGGGGCAATGGGTATTCGATTAGTCTTACGTAACATGGATATTTTTTTACATTGTTTAACATTCGTGCAAATACTTCATTTTTGGCGTCTTCCACTAAAATATTATCTAATTTGTTTTACAGTGTAAATAATTTAAAGTTATTAGAAGTTGTTACAATAAATGAAAATACTTTTTTAATCAATTTTGTATTGAATCTCTAGGATAACGAAGTAAATACTCAAAACAGATCTGTAGTATTTTGTAGAATCCTGTTAAACTGGCGCAGTAGACTCATGCGCCATCCACAACCACGTCGTGCGCACGCGTTGTAATCAGAAATTTTTTTTAATATGCGTCCTCAATATTTGCTCCCAATCTGATTAGGTGCAGTCAGGATCGACAACTAAGTCAGACTTTAATTATCATAAATTTTAATACACACAACAAATATAACATACAATTGTTTTTTATTAAGCTATAATTTATTTTAACTTCTTGCATTTAAAAGGGCGGGTGTTGTTGAAAGCGTTACATAGTTATTTAGGGAGGTTTAATCGCGAGTTACGGGGGGAGAGGAGGTATTCAAAATACTCCCAATTTGCGTTACGTAATTTATGAATTGACTCTTTGAGTTCCATTTTTCACCAAGTTACACTGAGGAAAATTGCCCCTGATTTGTGGGCATCTCACCAAACACTGGCGTCGAGCGGCACACGTGTAACGCAAAGAGGCTTCGCAAACATTCTGTACACCAATGCATGGTGAGTCGCCTACAAATCGTGATACAAGTCACTTGTGTAGTTACGTTACATGAACCTCCCCTCCCCCTATCCACAACATTGACCATCTTCAGTGCCCTAAATTCTTACTAAATTTGTAATATGTATTCTAGAACACCTGTATAGTAAGAAAAAATTATCATCATCCTTCAGTATTCTTCTCTTTATAAACTTTCAGCAGCCTGTATTCTTCTTTGTCCATTGCGTCTTACGCATTGTCTATTCTCTCCTTCCTCTTCTCCATTCTCTAGCCTTCTTTAGCTAAATTTCAAATAAGTTTTCCTTTTCCCTCGTAATATGACCGAAATTAGATGGTTATTTCCTTCATGGTCGACAGGATATTTCAAATCCTTCAAACTTTCTTTAATTTCTTTTGCTAATTGAATAGCAGTTTTTCAAAGAGTTGTTTATCTAAGAAACAATTTTCAGGAAAGGAAAGTATTCACATTCAGACTTTGAATTTTTGGATTTGAAGGTTTAGAATTGTTAAACATAATATTTTCTAATCGTTGGAGAAGTGTCTTAAGAATATTTTGTTACATAAACTAGAAATCAAGGTGATATGGATATAAGACGTTTGGAAATAAGCTCTTCGATTATCGCAAAAGCCAGAATTTCTGTAGTATTCTTTCAAAATTAATTTTGAAGCATAATATTTTTCGCCTTTCCATGAAATCCAATGTTGTCATTTTAGTGAATCTTCGAATGACGTAAACGAGGGGAGGGAAGAATGAAATTAATACGAAATAAGTTCCCAGCCCTTACGAAGGCCAATAAAGAGCTCAAACGTAAACATAAAGCACGAAGAACGTTTTTTGTTTTCCTGCACCGACCGAGTCGAACTGCGCCTGCGCAGGCATGCGGTTCGCTCAGATGCAGGTGAAGATGGGCGCGGCGGCGCTGGTGCGCGCCTTCGAGCTGCGCCGCACGCCGCGCTCGCCCGCCGACCCCGTGCAGCAGGACCCCACCAACTTCCTGGCGGCGGCGCTGGGCGGCCTCTGGCTGCACTTCGAGCCCGTCGACGACGACGCCGCCGCCGCCTAGACTCCAAGGCGCTTTCAATAGTGGCGAATGGTGAGAAATAATCCAGACAAACGAAATACGAAGTTTTTAATAGAAATGTTTAACCGTTGTTTTGTGAATTATCTCGCATTATTATTATTATTATTATTATTATTATTATTATTATTATTATTATTATTATTAT